AGGCACACAAATGGACTTCATCTTTTTCTGAGACACCAGCGCTCCTCAGACCTTCTTCAGTTAATCATCATTCATTCACCCTGTTGCTCAATTCAGAAAGTTGGGATGTGGAGATATCTACCAAATCCTATTTCCTAAGATTCCCAGTTAGCTTCCTCATTAGCTTCTCATTGTCATTGGCTGAGTTCAATCCTTGTAGTTTTGCCCTTGGACTCTTAGCTAGTCCTCATGACCCTTAAATTTACAAAAGATGGTGTTGGAGTCACCTCTTTTAATGAAGATGTGGCCCCAGTACTCCCCTGTAACTTCTTTGCAATAGATAAAAGCCAACCATCATGGTATATGATCGGCCACTTGCTTCCTGACCAGGATTTTGCCTTCTACTCCAGCCTCATTTTCATTCTCTCCAGCCTTACATCACACATTGAAGTCTTATGCATTACGGATTTTCACCTTTTGGCTCTGTCAAGCTGTTCCTCTACCTAGGACCCCTCTGTACACAGCCAACTTGAAAACTCCATTAGTTGCCCTTAAGAAGCTGTTCTTTTATTGACATTCTCTTTGTCCCCTCTCCTTGTCTCTACCACCTTCAACTAAGTTACCCTGTTTACACTCCCTAAGTCTCTGCCTATTGTCTATGAAAGCATTTACTACATTGTGTAAGAAGCATTTACTTATGTCTACCTCCTTTCCTAGACTATAAGATTCTGGAAGACAGAGCCTGACATATTCATTTTGCATCCCTATCTCTTACCACACTGCTACTGAGTGCTATAGAAGTTTGCTGAAGTGCACAGAACTGAAGGCTAGGTAATTGTTAGCATTTATGTTCCAGTAGATAAGCTTAATTCAAAAGGCCATGCTTGGTTAGATCATAAAATGAAATGATCCTAACTTAGTTGTTCTCAGCTTTCCTGCATTTTGCAGTCATCTGGGGATCTTTAAAAAGTACTCAGGAGAAGCTGGTAGAAGAGGAACAGCTCTATCTAGGAACCTTTTTAAAAGAACATCCTGGGTCCCATTCCCTGAGGTTCTGACGTAATTGGTTTGGGGTGTGGCAGGACATCAGCATTTTAAAAAGTTCCTGAGGTGATGTGAATGTGTGCTAAGTTTGAGATCCATAGTTCTAACTGAACCACCATATTAAGGAAAAACTGGTATATTTGGTTTTTTTCCTCGTGTTGTGTCTTTCTGATGTGATTCATAACTCTTTCAACTGCTTAAATATAAAGAGCAAATACAGTTAGAGATTCAGGCCAAGTATGGGAGAAGCTCTCAACCCTGGCCACATGATAAAATCATTACTCAGGAAAATTAAAAAATACTGATGCCTGGAGGTTAGAGCTTAACTTCAGAGCTTAAAGAACACATTGACTTCTCTACATCACTCTGGATGGCAGCTTCCACATGCCATCATCACTCTCTGGAGAGAGGGATTTTTTTTCTTTAAAGGTTGCCAGGAGAGAAGGGAGGAGAGAAATTGAGAGAACAGAAAGGGATGAAATTGGGAGAGAGAAAAAAATTACACATGACACTTAATGGGAATGTTATCAACAATAGATTAAAGTTTCATTCAGTAACACCAAAATAAGTCATGGGAAATTGCTTTTACTTCATCGTTCTTAGATGGTGATCTTTATATTCAATACTATTTGTCAGGATGCAAAGGGACAGCCAAGACTTACTACTTCATGCAGATAAACATCTTCATCCATTAGGGAATCTGATGGAAGAAGGGGAGCCAATGGAAGGATTTCTCCTTCTGTACCTGGATAAGATGCTCCAGTGGCAACCTGACACCAGTAATTCCTGGTAAAGTCAGAGCAGTGATGCTTTAGTCTCTGTGTGTATGTCCCACAGAACTTTCAATATTCTCCTTGGAGCAGAAGAAAAGGAGGGGAAACAAATGTCACCCTTTACACTTTCCTTTAAGGGAACTAGAGGAGGACCACTGGTCCAGATGGAGGTGTAGGGAGACATGCTTCATCTCCTTGCACAACCATAGGAAGGATTACAGCTAATCTCAAAACAAAAAACACCCAGAACTACCCAAATATCAGACTGTATGGAAGGCTGATAACCAAGGATTTAGAGAAGATGTATTCATCCAGACAAGTAGGAGGGGCAGAGACAGGGAGCCAGGGCAGAGAGGATGTGTTATGGCAGTGATGAAGAGGTGGCAACCTCATGGTGGTAGCAGCTGGCCAGCTGAACAGGTGGTCCCACATTAGGGATATTGGGGAGTGAGCCCCAGGCCAGACTGTGCAGCCCAGGGTTCCAGCACTGGGAGAATAAAGCCTCGTAACTCCTGGCCATAAAAACCAATAGGGGTTGGGTGATGGAAGAAACTGCCAGTCTCCCAAGAGAGTGTGTTTAAAGGGCCAGCAAGGTCCTAGAACATATATAAACCCACCCGTTCTGGGAATCATCACCAGGTGAACAGCTAGAGTGGTACCAGTCGAATAAGTGACTACAAGCAGGGCAATTGCAGAGCAAGCCTCTAGTAGCATTGCCTTCTCTTTGATCCCTCCCCCACATACAAAACCACAAAGCACTGAAGCTGGCTTCCCCCACCCTGGCGATTACCTTAGGATCTGCCCCATACAATGTAACAAGTTCATCAAGACAAGGAGTCAATGCAGCCCTACCTAATACACAGAATCAAACACAGGAAGGCTGCCAAATTGAGGAGACAAAGAAATATGGCTCAAATGAAAGAACAGAACAAAATCCCAGAAAAAGAACTAAGTGAAGTGGAGATAGCCAATCTGTCAGATGCAGAGTTTAAAACACTGGTGCTAGGGATGCTTAGAGATCTCATTGAGTACTGTAGAAGCATAAGGGAAGAAATGAAGGCTACACTAAGTCAAAGAAAGAAAAATCCACAGGGAACCGATAATGAAGGGGAGGAACCTGGGGTTCAAAACAATGAATTGAAACATAAGGAAGAAACAAACAGTCATCTGGAATAGAATGTAGAAAAAAATTTTTTTTAAAAATGAGGAGAGAGTAAGAAGACTCTGGGACATTTCCAAATGTGCCAACATCCAAATCATAGAGAAGTCAGAAGGAAAAGAAAAAGAGAAAGAAATTGAAAACTTACTGGAAAAACTAATGAAAGAAAACTTCCTAATTTGGCAAGGAAAATAGACACACAAATCTAAGAAGCACAGAGAGTCCCAAATAAGTTAGACCCAAAGAGGACCACACCAAGACACATCATAATTAAATTGCCAAAAGTTAAAGATAAGCAGAGAATCTTAAAAGCAGCAAGAAAAAAGCAAAGAGTTACCTACAAAGGAGTTCCCATAACACTATCAACTGATTTCTCAAAAGAAACTTTTCAGGCAAGAAGGGACAGGCAAGAAGTATTCAAAGTGATGAAAAGCAAGGACCTGCAACCTAGATTGCTCTATCCAGCAAAACTGTTATTTAGAATTGAAGGGCAGATAAAGTGCTTCCCAGATGAGATAAAGCTAAAGGAGTTCATCATTACCATTATTATATGAAATGGTAAAGGGACTTATTTAAGAAAAAGAAGATCAAAACTGTGAACAGTAAAATGACAACAAACTCACAATTATCAACAATTGAATCTAAAAAACAAACATAAACTAAACAAACAAGCAAAACAGGAATAGACTCTTAGATATGGAGATCATCTGGAGGATTATCAGCGGGGATGGGGGAACGAGGACAATGAGGGAAAAGGTACAGGGAATAAGAAACATATTTGGTAGGTACAAAATAAACAGGGGGAAGATAAGAAAGTATAGGAGATGGAGAAGCCAAAGAACTTAATATGCATGACCCATGAACATGAACTAAGGGCGGGGGGATTGCTGGAGGAGATGGGGATACCAGGCAGAGGGGGCAGAGGAGGAAAAATGGAGACAACTGTAATAGCGTAGTCAATAAAACATACTTTCAAAAAAAGGAGCCGGGGAGATGTAGCTACTTCCAGCCTGTTATGTGTGGGCGTGGCTATCGGCTCCACCCGCCTGCACCCTGATTCACTGCAGACGTGTGACAGCCCTGGGAAGTGGCAAACGAGATGACGAGGCTAGCTTTTAAAGGTCAGCTTTCACGAAGGCGTTTACAGGGGACAGAGTGTTATATTTTTTAGTGTTATAAACTAAAAATGAACAGTTCATAATAAAAAGTAATAAAATAATAAAAATCATTTGGTAATGTCTATCTTAACGGCCATAGCAAGACAAGATGAAAATAAAAGTACTCTGAATTTTTGTACGTTCACAAGCCTCAGTGGATGATAACATCAGGAGTGACGAGTACATGTGCAGCCTTTCAAATCACAAAAGGTTCATGCAACACATGCTTATTTAGTCAGAGCCTGTTGCTCTAGGCTTCAGAAAGCAGATGTTTCTATGGTTTCTAATCCTCGATGGCTTTGGAAGGTGTCTTGAACTCTGTTATTTTCAAGTCAAATGTTTACCTTATTAACAAAGCAATGACCTCTAGTTGGTGCTTTGCCTAGTCAGGTGCACAGGGGTGCTCTCCCTGAGAGGTCTGGCTAGACGGCGGCCCCTTGCGCCTTCTACTGCGCCGGCCTGAGCAGCACCCAGGACAAGCTTATTCCTCCCCTCATCCTTTCCTTCCTGTTTCCCCACGTAGGGGTCGCTCTGGAGCAATGGGGATTTTTTTTTCTTTAACCAATACCAGAGGCAGCAAAGATTACTAAAATTTAAAGAATTTTCTCCTGTTTTTAAGCACCGTATATAGTAAAGAAAAAACGTTGACCAAACTTGAATGGGTGCCATTTTTTACCATGTACTTTTGTTTGTTACCCTTTGTATTTAAACATTGTGGCAAGTAGCTTCTAAGATGGCCTTTCATGACCCCACTGTCCTGATACTCACTGAGTTGTGTAACCTGCTCTCCTTGCATACCTTGCTTCTAATGAGTGGTGTTTCTCAGTCTTGAGAGGATGCCAATTCCACGATCACATTACGAGTGTGTGACTTCTGTCTCGTCAGCAGGCTCCCTTCCTTGGAGGCTTGTTGCTGTGTTTGGGAAGCTGCATGGGCAGGGCCAAGGGTGGCCTCCAGCCAAGAGCCAGCTAGAAACCGGGCCCCTCTGTCCAACAACCCAGAAGGAGTGGAATACCGCCAACTACCACGTAAGTGAGCTGAGCAGATTCTTCCGCTATTGAACTTTCGAATGAGGCCCCTGTCCTAGCTAATTCCTTGACCGCAGCTTTGTCAGAGACCCTGAATTAGAATAGAGGACCCATTTCACTTGTACCCAGATTCCTGGCCCACAGAAACTACAGCATAATCAGTGTGTGTTGTTTATGGTAATTTGTTACATAGCAGCAGATAACTATCCAAAAGTTATTTGATAACATTGTCTACCATAAATAATTATTCCATTGTTATAGAAGTTTGGGTTTGTCTTATCTCTGTGAAAACATTATGCAATTATATTTTTGTATACATTACACATTATACAGAGAGGTAGGCCCTTATATGCATTGGCTCCCACTCCAAGTATTTAAGGAAGGATTTTACATATAGTTAACACCCATTAAAAACTTAAACAATGAATGAACAAAGGTATGTTTGTTCTTGACATTTTCAAATAGTCACTTGGATTCACACCTCCAATATTTGGCATCTATGATTCTGCAGTGTCTGTGTAGTTAAAACATTCATGCTTATTTCTGCTTAGTTAATATAGAAAAATTGATTTTTGCAGGTTTAATGAAGACCCAAATTGCATGTACTTCAGTAAATTGGATAAAATATACTTGGACTATAAATTCTGGGTCCTGATTATTTTCTGACTGCTTCTGCCCACATTTTAAAAAATTATTTTCACCAGAGGACATGTTTATTGACTTTAGAAAGAGGGAGAGGGAGGGAGAGAAACATTAATGTGAGAGAGAAACATTTATTGGTTGCCTCTCTCATGTGCCTGGACTGGGGTCTGAAACCACAACCTAGGTATGTGTCCTGACCAGTAATCAAACCCGTGACCCTATGGTTTATACGGGATGATGCTCCAACTAACTGAGCTACACCAGCCAGAGCTGCCTAGATTTTTTTGTAGTACTCACTCAAATGGTCATCATTTAGCTGGTCACCTAAAAAGATACATTTGTCATATGTTAAATCCTTTACTGCTCAATTAGTAGAAGACTGTTCTGATCTTCTTTTTTTGGGGTTGACATCTGCGTTAAAAATGACAGGAGCTAAACATTTACCAGTAAGATCTAGTCAGTGAGGGAAAGTATCAATGAAAATGTCTATCTAAAACCAATAAGCAATATCATAATTAGTAATTAGTTTGCTTTTTCTCACCCCTCCACCTTTTGGTATATCTCTTTAGACACAGAGATACAACCATAAAAGTCTGAGGAAGGTCATATTAAAGGCAGCCTTCCCATTTTTCTCTAGAGGAAGTGATCTTTGCTGTTACCCACCCCCCTTTATAGCACAAGATGCTTTCGAGAGATACCACTGACGACCCTGAGGGGCTTCCCCACTCCTATTCCCTTGAAGTAGCATTTTTGGGTTTGGACTTAGTAGTTTATAGCTGCCTGTGTTCTTGCTCTGGCAGAAAGACATCCTCTCCCTCAGGCACCTTGCTGCTTAGCTCACTGCTTTGAACTACAGCCATATGGGTATGTGATCAATCTGTCCTCCTCAAGAAATCCAACCAGACTGGCAGGGAAACCCATCTGGATCCTCCGTGGCTCTCTGAGGGGTGGGGGAGAGCCCCTCAAGACTGGACAGGCAGGAGTTGCTGCGGTGTATAGCCAGAGACCCCCTTTAATCTAGATGGCTGAGGATGTACCATCCTGAACCACATTTTCTCTTCATGGGTAGACGGGGCTAAAGTTGATGGTGGTCCCAACCCTCAGGGGCGTCCAGTGCTGGGTAACACATTTTGCAAAGATTGTTGACACACCAAAAGGCAGCTGGAGAGAGGCTACCTTAATTATGTGCTGCCATAAGCATAGTCCAAGAATTCCATAGAGAACAAAATAACATGGGCAAACTAAAAACTGAATTTCAGCAAGGCGGTTGGCAAATTCTTTATGAACTTGAGGGAACGAGTGGATTGGCTGTGTTTAGGCAGTGTTAATGGAACCACTAGTCTCTGGAGATTGCTGATTAAAGCATCATTGTCAACCTGGAAGAAGTTGAAAGAGTCTGTCTTTAATCTCTACTGATCTCTACTGGTTATCAGTGACTTGGGTGAGATTATTCATGACACATTGATCACTTTTATTGATTATGAGAAGCAGAATGCATTTAGTAAATACATTAAATGACGGAAGAAAAATCCAAAAATATTTGGCACATTGGGTGAAATCTAACAAGGCAGACTTCAAAAAGAACAAATCTAAAGTCATATGCTTGGGTCTCTGTCACACACACACACACACACACACACACACACACACACACACACACAGATAGACACAGACACATGTGCACACCAGCACTAGATGTCCTTGTCTCCCAGACAGGGGAACATTGGGTTGCAAAGTGAGGTGTTCAGGCAGAGAGGTTGGGGATGTAGAAGCAGTGTGGCATTGTCTTGGAGGTACGGAACCAAAAGCTGGCTAGGTCATTCAACAGAGTAATATCCAAAGAGTTTAGATAGGGAGGGAGCATCTGGCTACAAAGCTAGCCAAGTAGAACTTGGAGACAGAGAAGTCTTGACGAGGGTGGAGGCAGGTTACAGGCAGAGCCTGGGGCCATTCATGTGCTGATGTGTTGCTGTGTTGTTTGCAATGGCCTTAGGCATGGGTGGGAGGGAACAGTTAAAGACACCAGCCAGGTGTGAACAAGCATAAATAAAGAAAGTGGAGACTGTGTAGGGAATAGCATATATATAAAAGGGTCATGGATTTGAGTTGAAAGCTTGATGTGAGTCAAGATGAGAATGTAGTTCCTAAAATAGCTCAGCTGATCTTAGTCTGCATTGATAAATATTGATAATACGTGTAATAAATCTTCGGTATCACCTATGGTCCTGAATCCAGTATTGGGGTCCACTTTGCATGGACCATTGACACACCAGAAGGTAGCCAGAATAGAGGTTTCATTTCTTCATTTATTCGCCAAGTACTCATTGAACACATACTAAATGCCAGGTACTTTTCTAGACATTGGGGGGTTAGCCACACACAAGACAGACATGGTTCCTGCTCTGAGTAAACTTTTGCTCCAATGGGAAAGAGATAGGCAGAAAAATATTTTGTGTAGCATTAAGTCTTATGGAAAATAGAATGGGATGTTGTGTTGGAAAGTGACTTACTAAGTGAAGGAGAGGATAACTTATATAACAGTGGTCAGAAAGAGCCTCTCTGAAGAGCTGAAAGAAATCCTAAAGAATGAGTAAGAAGCAAGCATAGGAAGATCCAGGAAACAAATTCTACAGGTTGAAGGAGCAGCTAGTATAAAGGCCCTCAGGTGGGAAACAGCTTAGAGCTTAGACAAAGGGCTGTGTGTCTGGGAAGCAAGGAGTGAGAATGAGAGTAGGTACAGAGTGAGGTCCGACAGCCAGGATGGGATGGTGGAGAGGATGATGGAGAGGAAACACAAGACGACCCCACTTGTTTTATTATATTAAACAGTCACGTCTGCAGCACTTACTGTGTGCCAGGTAGTGTTCTAAATGCGTCACAGATATGAACTCATCCGTCTTCATAAAAATGGTGATGATAACTGCTAACCAAATTGTGTTTCCTAGTTAAAAATGCTTTTCTGACTATTATTTTATGTGTACCATACAAAAATCATATTAAATAAGGCTTTGTAAGGCAGTGACTTTACAGACTTTGAATGTGAAACACGGAGAGATTAAATGACTTGCCCAAGGACCAAATCCTGTGCTGTTTTTATTCTTGATGTCATGTACTTTGAGCAGTAACCGGTGAAACCAAGAATGTTTAATGTGGAGAAGATCTGTCTTAGAAATGGACACTGTGACCATGTTTGCCTAGTCTGGGTTCTGCTCAGTATCCTAATCTTTGACCAGACACCCCCTGAATCATCTCTTCTCACTGGGTGGAGCCTAATACTTGCCATGTTGTTGATCTTTTTTAGTTGTTGCTGTTCTTTTGCTTCCTGAAAACCTCAGTGTATTAGAAGAATGCTCTATGGTTTGAATTTATGATTTTGATCCTTCAGTCGGGGAGGAAGGAGTGTAGTATATGCAAGCATGATGATGCTTTCATTTAGTTAGTCAACAGATATTTCACTGAGCACCTGTCCTGGGCAAAAAACACTGTTCCTGGTGTGGGGGCAGAAGGATGAATGAAACAGATACAGTTTCTATCTTTATGCAGCTTATACTCTGGCGGGACAGACAGATGATAAACAAGACTTACAGAAATCTATGTAATGTCAAATTTTATTAAATGTTAAAGAAGCAGTGACATGTGTTATGTTATCTATTGTGGTGTTATAATTCACACTGAGATTTAGTGGCTTCAAGTAACATAGTTATTCATTTTGCTCACACATCTGCCATTTGGGCAGGCCTCAGTGGGAATAGTTTATCTCCGCCCCACATAGCACCTGCCGAGGTGGTGAGGATCCACTTCCGAGGTGGTGATTCACGTATTTGCTACCAGGTGTCATTTGGGAGCTTAGCCAGGGTTGTGGCTGAGGGTCTCCTATCCTCTCAACTCAAGTCTCTGCATGGAACTGCTTGAGCTTCCTCAGAGCATGGTGGCTAGGTTCCACGAAACTCAGGTCAGAGCCTGGGAATGGACACAAGTCACTTCTGCCACATTCTAGAGGCTAAGCAGTCAAGTCCATCTAAAGTAAATGGAATCTAGCCCAGGAGTGGTCATAAGCCTAACTCTTGATGGGAAAAATGGAAAAAAAAGTCATAGCTATCTTTGATCTCTCACAAGCTGTGATTTTATGTGTCTACCTTTAAGACCACTGCCCTAGAGAAGGTTTATTGTTGCCTGCAGATTTTCCCCTATAATTAGGAAATGTTGATATTGGCTTATAGGGGCTCACTGAGTTGTGATTTTATGGTCTAACTCATGAGGATTATTAACAGATTATCATGTTTCTCCCTTGAGTACATATATTTTTTTAAACCTCTCATTACATAACTCAGTATAAAAAAGCAAGATATTGGATATGA